TAATCTGTGGGTTCAATGGTTTCCAAGGGTCCAAGGTTCAATTTTTATCAAAACAGCAGTTCAACTTACATGTTTAAACATCATGGTACCATATTTTACAAGCATCATTAATATTTCCACACTTAACTTCACAAACTAACTCATTTTCAAGAAACTACAAAGGAAATGACTTGTAGTTACCTAGGGACCTTTGAAATCGGAAAAATGGTGAAACTTTGAGGACTTTGGAGGTGCTCCAAGCCACTGACTTAGTGGTGCACGAAAATCTCACTCTAATGTTGGTTCTTTCCTCACAAAGGTTGGTTCTTGGAGCTTTCTAGAGGGTCTCCAAGGCTCACACACTAAGAACAACCAAAGTCAGCCCTTACTCATTGAATACAGAAACTAAAAAGTCTCAAGACCTAGCTTTTACCTCACAAAACTCAAGTTTTACAAGGTTTAATGGTATAGAAGTGGAGAAATAGGAAGAAAGGTGGGTTCATGATCAAGTTCCATGCACAAGGCTCAAGCTCTCATGGAGGAAGAAGGTGGCAGCCATGGAATCAACCTTGGGATCAGAAAAATTGACCTAAGGTTGAGTGTAAGTGACTATTTATATTAGTGTCCCCACTAATCAATAGTATTAGTTCTAATAGTTTCACTAATCATTTTTGCACCAAACTTAATATTCTGAACCTAGACATTTTCCTAGGAGTTATCATATTTTTCTTATAATCTTTTGGAATACTTCGCTGGTACACATTTATACCGTGAAGCAGAACCAGTATTCACACTTTTCATCAGAAAAGCAATTTAAGCGTTCTTTGACCTTCTTGATAATTATTCTAATCTTTCTATATTTATCCAAAGTCAATTATGGAATTATTTCCTAATTTCATGATTAAATTATTTAAATTCCTAATTTAACGGTGCGGGTTCTTACAATATACTGAAAAGTCCTATACATCATATATACATAAACTAGCATATGCTCTGTGCCACTGCAGATATCCTATGTAAGGATATACATAACTATATACACATAATCATATCCTCTGCGTACAAACATGGAAAGTTATACATGCCTCTCTAAGTAGATATCAAGATATAACTATATAAATGCATAATCATATACACATCATGCTACACCAAACATGACTATACAATCCTCCAAGATATCTAGCTATATAACTGCTCCAACTGGATGATCTAGCCACTCTGCACGGGTCCCTTTCCCCTAGAGGGCTCATCTGCTAATAGAGTACCTTAAATATATATCCACAACGAGGGGTGAAAATGAATCTCATTAAACTCTAGGTTTATGGAGCAATATCCACCCAAGAGCTTTCTTCCTGCATAAAGGGTTAGATCACATAGCATAAAAGACATCATATACTGTAACACATCCATACACATCGGGTGACTATACTCCAGGTGTTGTATCCCACAAGGAGAGTCCAAATTTACACTTCTGATAATCATAGATTCCCATAGAAGCAACACATGTTGTGATCAGGAGCTAATGTCACCTAGGCCAAACCATATATATACCAAGATCAACCAATGTATGTCATAGATAGTGATCAGGAGACTAATGTCCTCTCGGCCAAACCTGATGTATACCGATCACAATCGTGTATGTGTTCACTAATCAGGAACCATTGCCCAAGTCTCATACCATTGCCCAAGTATCACAATACAACACATCATCTCATATGCATGTACTACATGAATGCAATTATACTATGATCCAATATATATCAACCATACAATCATAAACCAAGATCCTATTGGATCGTGGTGGAACATCAAGTTTGGAGAGAACTCCTAAACTGAGAGCTTACCTCTGATGCTCCTAAAACACGCTTACTTGAAACACAAGAAACTATATAAGATCCTCATAATCCTATTCTAAAATCACTGTATCACTTGGTTCACACTTGATTTATCAATCAATAACAATGAATAGCCATTATGGTTTATTCAAAGCATATATATACTACTAAAGTGCCATACTTTAGTCTTTCATTACAAGACTTATTATCTTGCCATACTTAATAATTTCATTCTTGATAATTCATGCCCATACCACAAGTCAGACCTACTAACACATAACCTTATGAATTAACTAAATTTCAATCATATAAAACCCTATATTATCGAATGACACATAATTAGGGTAGATGAATTTATCCATTTAAGTACATCATATTCCAATGAAAAATTCATCCTTTAACTTAACTATATAATTATTTCTTGTTCACCATGTATTCTTTCTTTTTCACATTCTCCAAATGTCTTAATCATCTTGAATATATATAAGATTCAATAACCTTATTACTTGACATAAAACCAAATGCATAAACCCTAGAAATCATACATGGCCGAATTGTTAAGGGTTAGGGTTACTATACATTTTTCCAAACTTCTCATGACCATTGATCATAAAAAACATTAATTTACCAAGCACTAAGCATGATTCCTCATTAACATGACATGAAACAACTTCTTAGACAATTCTTCAAGGCAAAATTGAAATGGCAACACAATTTTTTAGCCTAGACAGTCTTCACTAATTAATTCACGAAAATTACATTTCTGATTCAATGGCCTTGAATTTTTGATATGTTATACTAGATATGTGTACCTTTAATTCAGCATAAACCACACTCAATTTGGAGTACTATAACTCCAGATATCAACTTTTCAAAACAGTGGCTAGAATTGGTTTCTACAGTGTTAATGATTTTTTTACAACTTCCAATGATTAAAACTTGATCAATTCAACTCCATGAACACCAAAGACCAAGAATACATACTAAAGCATATCATACAAACACATGGTACAACATAATCATATTCAGCCATATTCAACAAGAAAATCTAAAATCATAACTTAAAAACCAACCATTTAAACTTGAGTTTCTTGACTCAAATGAACTCCAAATCACCTAGGGATGATTCCTCACCCTTTAAACCAAAAAAGCACTCATCTTTAGACTCATGAATAGTTACTAGGTCAAGGCTTTCAAGAGAAGAAATCAAGATATTGAAGGCTTCTTTAGAGAAACAAAGCTTAGGGTTTTCTTCTTTAAGCTTCAATGATCATTTTTTATGAAAAAATCTTTATCTAAAAGTGAATGAAAGTAGATCAAATGAGCTCTCCAAGCTCTTAAATGGTGGATGGTGATACGAAGAGGAGAAGTGGAGCCCCTAGTTGGGTAAAAGATTTTGTGATAAATATTCATTAGGAATATAGTGGGTGGTTACAATACATTGTAAAGATTAGTTATTGTGATGTTAATAGAAATGTAACAGAGAAGTTACAGCCGGTTATACATGTTAGTCTTTATAATTGTAATTGATGACGTGGCCTTGGTGGTTACAAGATGTAGCTTGCTGTCATGAGTATATAGTATCAGTTGTTGTAACTGGAAACTTCATTGAGAAAAATATACAAATCAGTTTTCGTTCTTCTTCTTTGTTTTTCCTCTGTTTCTCTGTTTTGTGACTGAGATCACGTTTTAGGGTTTCCGTTCCCTAACATTGGTGCTTTCATCTTGATGAGCTCCTCTTCGTTCTTCACGATGCCGGATGGAATTGCAACACCTTCCATTACAACACTCTTCAAAAATCTTGTTGTATCCATTACAAATTTGACAAAGTTGAGCACTGAGATGCACGCTGACTTTGCAAGATTAAGAACCGAGTTGCGCGCCGATTTCGCCAAGATGAGTGTCAATTTTGCAAAGGCTAGTTCCATAGCTCCTCTCCTTGTAACAGCTCCTTCAATTTCGCAGGCCCCAAGGCCCAGATCAGGTCAGCGCTGCAAGGCTTCTGGGAACAAGCGTCCCTTATCGAGGAAAGAAGTGAACCAGTCCCATTCGAAAGTTTGCAACTCGATGAAGAAAGGTTCTGTGCAGTTTTTGCAGATGTTGAAACCCAAATTTGGGGGAATCTTCAACACTCCCTTGCTGTCCAGTCTTGCCAAGAATGGGTATGCCAGACACATGTTTGATGAAATGCCTAGCCTAAATACAAGGTCTTGGTCCATGATGCTATCTGACGCCTTGTTCTATTGGGACCCAGGAGACCAAGATTGGATCGTTGCCTTTTCGTCTACTCTAATGGAGATTGCAGGTTTGGTCTCTCTTGTGGGTGAAAACTATTCCCTCAAGTTGAAACAGTCAATGCAAACCCTTTTGGCTGAGATTCTCAAAGAATCCTCGGATTTTTCTCTTTTCGTCGATGCATTTCATGAATTGATGGAAGCTAAGGTTGATCCACCCCTTGAGGTGATATGGGTCTATGCTGCAATCAACTTTTGCAGCCATGATTTGGAAAAAAGTGATGCCTTGGATCGAATACTGGCCGCAAAAGACTTGTTTCAGATGCTATCTGCATGTTCAGCCTCGGTTGGTGCTTCAAAGAGCATTGCTTTACTGGTTCCTGTTGTTTTTGTGGTGCATAGAGTGCTTCTGGAACTATTTGGAAGTGAATTGAGATTGAAGAAAGAGAAGAAAGAAATGAGGGAGGTGAAGTCTTTGGTAGATACAGTTCTTGGGTATATAAGCGTTTGTTGTAGTAAGATTTCTGAGGAGGAACCTGATTCCGTTAGTTTGAATTTGATTTTTCCTTTCCAAAATTTGGCATGTGTTTGGGTGGATAGTGTTGATGGCTTTGAATCTTTGTTGCCTCTTGTGAGCCATGATGTTTGTGGCTGGCTTAGTTATAGAGATTTTCATGTTGGTTACTTGGCTGGTGCCATCATCATGGAAGCTTTTTCCTTGAAACTGTGCCTGTCTTTACATCTAGCAACGCCAAAGGATGAATTGGAAAAGAATATGAAGAGTTGGGCTGTTGGCTCAATATCTAGCTTTCAGAACATATATTTTTTGGAGATCATTATGAGGGAAATGAATTGGGTGCCTCTGCGAGTAGTGTTTGTTCTGATCAAACTTGACTGCTTCTACAATTTCTTCTCAAGGACTGATGTAAATGGGAATAATCCTGCATGGAAAGCAATGGGGTACAAAGTGGACACAAGGGAAAAGTTCAAACGAAAGGAGAGGCTTCTTCAAGAGGGATTAATAGAGACTATGTACGAAACTGATTCTACTTTAGTCCAATCCCTCACTGAGAAAGGCCTTGAAGTCACTGAAGATGTAAAGCAGAACATGTACAAGGTCAAATGTGATGTTGTCATTATCGGTTCTGGTTGTGGTGGAGGAGTTGCAGCTGCAGTTCTTGCAAACTATGGTCGGAAAGTAATAGTACTAGAGAAAGGAGAATATTTTGTTGCCAATGATTATTCTTCTTTACATGGTCCATCCATGACTGCGCAATATGAATCAGGTGGACTTATGCCAAGTCTTGAGGGGAAGTTGATGATTTTGGCTGGCTCAACAGTGGGTGGAGGCTCTGCTATAAACTGGTCTGCATGCATCAGAACACCTGATCCTGTTCTGAGGGAATGGTCTCAAAAATATAAAATCCCATTTTTGAGAAGCTCTAATTATCAATCAACCATGGACACCGTGTGCAGAAGGATTGGTGTGACAGAGAAATGCAACAAGGAAAGCTTTCAAAATCAAATTCTCAGACAAGGATGCGAGAAAACTGGTTTAAAAGTTGAGTCAGTTGCAATAAATTCTTCAGCAGATCACTATTGTGGTTCATGTTATTATGGTTGTAGAATAGGAGATAAAAAGGGCACGGACACCACTTGGTTGGTTGATGCTGTTGGAAATGGTGTAGTGATCCTCACTGCATGTAAAGCTGAGTTGCATTATAATACAACCCATCATTCTTCCATTGGCATGAGTCCCTTCCAAGCATTATATGGGAGGTTACCTACACTGATTCCTCATTATCATCAAGGCTTGGTGAGGGTAGAAGCTGTAGATTCCAGTTTGACTCATCACAATGAATTGCTAGCTCAATTGAAGAATCATTTGCAAGGAGCTCACAATAGGATGAAGGTGCAAGCAGATAAGCATAGGAAGGACATCTCTTTTGCTGTAGGGGATTTGGTCCTTGTGAAGCTGCAGCCTTACAGGCAGCTCACGGTTGCAAAAAGACATAACCAGAAATTATCAAAGAGGTATTTTGGTCCTTTCCTTGTTGTTCGAATTCTGAGTCTCGTAGCTTGCCAATTACAGCTGCCACAGGGTAGCAAAATACACTCATCTTTTCATGTTTTGGTCTTGAAACCCTTCAAGGGTGATCACCCTAATTTGGTTCCAACTTTACCGATTTTCAATAATGGCAATTGCCCTGTTCAAGAACCTGCTGCTTTTCTTATGTCACGCAAGGTTTCAAGCAAAAAAAAAATTTCTGGCACTCAATACTTGATCCAGTGGTCTCATGCTTTACAAGAGGATGCCATTTGGGAGAATAAGCAGGACCTTAAACAATACTACCCTCATTTGAACCTTGAGGACAAGGTTGCTTTGCAAGATGGGGATAACGATACGAAGAGGAGAAGTGGAGCCCCTAGTTGGGTAAAAGATTTTGTGATAAATATTCATTAGGAATATAGTGGGTGGTTACAATACATTGTAAAGATTAGTTATTGTGATGTTAATAGAAATGTAACAGAGAAGTTACAGTCGGTTATACATGTTAGTCTTTATAATTGTAATTGATGACGTGGCCTTGGTGGTTACAAGATGTAGCTTGCTGTCATGAGTATATAGTATTAGCTGTTGTAACTGGAAACTTCATTGAGAAAAATATACAAATCAGTTTTCATTCTTCTTCTTTGTTTTTCCTCTGTTTCTCTGTTTTGTGACTGAGATCACGTTTTAGGGTTTGCGTTCCCTAACAGATGGCCATGGAGGAGAATAAGGTGCAGAAATTTTGTGGCTTTTGCAGGAAGAATAAGAAGACAATTCAATTTAGAAAGCTTTACTTTAATAAAATGACTTATAACCACTGTTTTTGACTTTCCTCTTCCTTTAACCAATTAAATTGATAGCTTAGTAATCACTCCTCTTCCTTCATCTATATAGGTTGGCCAAGGAGTTCCATTAAGTGGGAAAACTGAATTTGGTGATGAAAATATCATGGTAACTTAGCCATTACGTTTAATTGCTAACTTGTCGTCACTTTGACTTATAAGGCTCCTTATTGGTTGATTTTAATTAGAGCTTTCACTAAATTTTAAAAATTAATCTGACCATAATTACATTAGTATAAGATCACCTTGAACCCATAAAATTTACTACACAATTTAATTATGCCATCTAATTCAAGTTTAAGCCTAATTTTATCAAATTTTAGCTTACTCTAAATTACAAGGATTTTCATTGGTTGTTTTTAATACAATTTTGACCTATGTGTTATCCAACCCAATAATTATTAGACCGACCAATGGAAAAAAAATACATAAATTCTTCATTGATAGATTAAAAAAAATTAAAAACAACCTGGCCCATAAGTCACCAAAATAATAATTGATTGATGCATAAATTTAATTTGGACTTCCAACACTTACTACATGTCCATTCCATTTACCATCATAATTGCAAATTACAACAACTGTCCAATTTCCTTCTTCACATGTTTCCATTCATTATTATGTTTTAAAAAAAAATGTGTCGATTGATTAATTAATTTACAAGATCAATTTAATTAGACATGTATGTTCAAAAAGTTATGTCTAATCTCATCGTTGATTTCAACCAAAAAATATTAACATTGTTGTGTATCCAAATGTTGATGCGAGTTTTGTCCTTATTTATATTTAATAAATTCAAATATTAAGTACTTCAAAATATTAATTGGCATCTTATTTAATCAACATCAACAATACCTTTATCCCAAATTAATTGGAATCGATGATAGATGAACTCAAATGAAAGATACAAAGAGATTGAAAAAGATAAAAATGAACCCAAACTAATTGGCAACCCAAATTAATGGTAAACACGAACTTGTAAGCGCTCACATTTGCAAGTTTAAACCAATGTTTTAAAGCTCGGACTGGTCATCGACACAGTCGAGGTATTGGGTCATTGAGTCAATGGGTCAACCAGGTTCAAGCAAATTTCAAAATAATATATAATAAATATTAAATTATGAACTTTATGTCTAATAAATAAAAGTGGTTTACTGGTAAGCCTTTCGATCCTTACGTTCGAATCTCGTTGCTTGCAAAATGTATATATTTTACACAATTTAACATAAAACGGTTCAACACCGATTGAACCCGATTTTGATCTGGTTCGAGTACATAATCAATTTAATGCCCAGTTCAAATTGGTAAGGGCACTAGATTACTGAAACCCAGGTCTGGTTTAAACAACTATGTCTAATAAATAAAAGTGATTTATTGGTAAGTCTTTCGATTCTCAAACAAGGGGACTTACGTTCGAATTCCATTGCTTGCAAAATGTATATATTTTACACAATTTAACATAAATCGGTTCAACACCGATTGAACCTAGTTTTGATCTGATTCGAGTACATAACCTATTTAATGCCCAACTCAAATCGATGAGGGCACTAGATTACTGAAATTCAGGTCTGGTTTAAAAGACTACGTTAGCTGTTAATTTTCAAAACATCATAGAAAAGTAAAATGAGATGGAATAAAAATACAACAAATAAGAAAATTGAGTTTTTCTTCAAAAAAAATTCCACCTTAGTTCATTGATTACTAAACTAATCAAATAAGAAAATTGAGTTTTTCTTTAAAAAAATTCCCCCGAGTTCATTGATTACTCAACTAATCTCGTTGAGTTGGATAGGAAAATTTTTCCCACCAAATTTTTAATACATCTAAGTAACTAAGACTACTAATTAAACCGTAACAATCTCGTACCATTTAGGGCTTATTTGGATGAGCTTGTGAAAAAAAAAACTTTTTATGTCTTACTTATTTTAGAAGGAATTTTTTAAAAAGGTAAAAATATTTTGCATTTAGATGTAATACGTAAAAAATGCTTTTAATGTTTATAAAAAAAAATTAACTGAATATATTATTTGAATTTTAAAATTAAAAAGTACTTTTTATTTATAAAATTACTAAAAATAATATGTGAAAACAAATTATGGGAAAAATTTAGTGATGATGGAGGCGGTGGCGGAAAGATGGTGGTAGTAATGGCGGCAGGATAATGGAGTTAGGGTGATGGTAATGGCAAAGTGGTGGTAGTGATGACGAAGGTGTGGTGGTGGTGGTACTAGTGACAGAGATGATATCGATTAAGGTTGGAGTTGTCGTGATGACATAACAATGATAAGTTGATTGAGGGGTGTGGTGGCGTTGGCAGCAACGAGAATAATGGTGGTGGTGACGATAGAGAAAAAGATTGGATGGATTGAAGTTGAGGTTGAGACAAATTTTGATTTTTGAAAAACTATTTAATTTTTAACTTCTAATTCCTTATAAGCTAAAAATTTGACCTTTTGGTAAAAAAAAAAAAAACAGAGAAAGAGAGAGAGAGCATGTTTTTTACTTCTTCTTTTTTTGGTAACTTCTATTTTAAAAAAACACAAATATCCAAACACTCATATATTAGCGAAAGGGTTTTTTATTTTTTTTGAATAAAAAGATTTTGAAAAAAAAAAAGTGCATGCAAATGACATTACACACATGCCCTCGTGTTAAGCAAGTTAGGCTCTTACTTTGCATATCTATATTTATTCTAAAGCAAAACCATTTGTTGGCAAGTTTGATGACGTGTCAATTTCTCATGCATTCTTCACTTTGTGTTCACACTACATTTAACTTCAATTTTTTTCCTCTTATAGAAACATTTCGAATTTCAATTCACTACAAGAAGAAAGTTTATTTGTGACTAAAAATTTCGTCATAAATTTCGTCACAAATGACAATTTTTGACACAAATAATCAAATTTCGTCACAAATAAACTTGCGACGAGGAATTTATGACGAAATTTACTTGCGACGTAGGAATTTGTGACGAAATCTCATAAAATTTTGTCACTAATAAGATTTTTCTTGTAGTGATTGTTATCAATTCATTTATGTGAAACAATTCGAATTTGAATTATCATTATTTTTTAAGATTTGTTAGTGGCAGACAGTTGTATTAATATCTCACTACTTTCTACATTGAAATTGTTAACCTTATTAATTGTTCACACTAATTTCTGCATGAATAATTGTTAAGCCTATTAATTGTTTCCACTACTTTTTGCATGGGTAATATTTAATCCTATTAATTGTTAGAAGCTATAAAAAATAAATTTTAATATAAAAAAATGAGCTTAAACACGAAATTAGAATGTAGTACATGTATAAGTAAGATATGTGGTGCTGCATATTTTCCTTTGGTAATCTTCTTTTGTAAATATATTTCTTTTATTTATGTCTGTTTATCTTCTTCATCTTCTTAAGTTGTTCTTTTGCATAAGCTTACTCATTATTTGTGCGTTTATAGTTTTCTATATTATGTTTGCTGATCTTCCATGTTCATTGTTCTGTACTTTATTTCAATTTGGGAGCATTTGTTGAGCAAATAACGTTGGAAGAGGATCCAAGCAGGTGTACACTTTCTTCTACTCTACCTTTCAAATTTAAGATATATTTTATGTTTATTATCTTTCGATCTGGTTTGTACACTTTTAAGCTTGTGACTTAGATTTAAAATGGTGTTACTACAAGTTTCATATGTTTCGGTTAGCTTAATTTTACAGGGATGATATATTGTTGGAAGGACTACAATAGGAACTGGAAGAATGTAAGAACAATGAAGTAAATTATTTTGCCATCAATGTGTTGAAAACCTGTTATTGAAATGGATCACCATATATTATGTTGTTGTGTTGCTTTGTTTTGTTTACGTAGTTGCAAATATACTATGTAAAGGTACTAAACTTAGGGTTTATGCAAAGGGAGTTGAGAACGATTTGCACAAAGTTGAATTGGATTCAATTCAGGTTTGTGGTCAATTTTCTAAAAAATTTATTCGTTATTTTTTCTAGTGCCCCTTTTGTAAGTCATCTAATTCTCAAAAGTTTACTTTGCCAGACAACTGAGATTGGGAAGGTTGTCAATCCTCTCTGAAAGCATGGATTAATACGAGAACAGAAAGAAACTAGTTGAGCAACGTCCAAGAGTGAAAGGATGACATAAAATATGATCATTAGCAGATGTCTGAGTCACTGGATAGAAACTAGATAAAAATTAATTTGCAAAAATTATGTAAAATCAATGTAAAAGAATTCAAATTTTTTTATTTAAATAAAAAAATGACGTCTATCATTCTGTAAAAAATAAATTATAAATATTTAAAACGCTATAAAAATGAATGACCATCAGTGATCAATGACAATCCAACTTCTGCATCAAAAAATATGTTTGTCATTAACTATTTTACAGACTCTTTCAATGTTTCCTGCTACCTTTTGCATGAAAATTTTTTAAGCCTAATAATAACATTTAGTATTATATGGAAAAATATTTAATACTTTAAACTCAAACTTATTAAATTTGAATTTTAAACTTGATAGGTAGGAAAATAGTTCAGCATTTCATGTTTCTGTAGTGTGAAAAATATGT